GTACTTCGCGTACTAGACTTGTACTACAAAGTTGCGATTTTCGAGCCGGACCTGCCAAAGTTCGAAAACACTGTAAAACGATAAGGTCTCCCCCAAAAACGATAACGCTCAAAAAAGTACTAGGGCCAAGTAAAGTGTTTCGTCCGCTCCTCATATGGGCTTGATTTATGTTGTCTGTTTTTGACAGAATATCATGTTTCTTATTTCTGCTCCATGTTTGGTCTTTCCGGAACTAGCATGTTGCACGTCATCGCGCCGCACCAACAAAAGCTCGAAATCATTGAAAATTTGCTCATCGCCAAAACAAGGCTCTACAAGGTTGGCAAAGGACCCGCTCAAATGGTTGCAGGTTGGGAAGTCTCTACACAACCAAAAAGAAAGTGGATGGACGAATTCCTGCAACACCAAAGGTTTTAACCATGGTTCCTTTTCGGTTTGCGCGCGGCTTTCGGCCATGCACAGTATAAGCATGACACTAGCTGCCATTGTTGCACCAGCAGTACTAGTTGCGCTTCTTCAGTGGCAGGCACCTGGATTACTTCTCAGCAAGCCCCCCCCCCCCCACGCCCACACACACATACACACGCAAGACAGGTTCTCAGAAGCTTTCATTTGCTTAAGAACTTACTTTTTCCCCTGTTGGTTGTAAAGGGAATCGATGATTACTGGAAATGGGTCTGTCTTTTTTGTTTGGAGGATACCCTTCAAAACCGAGGCCACTTTGAGGGTCCCCCCAAAAATAAACAGCCCAATATGATAGAATCTGAACATCTTCATTTTGGGGTACAGAGTAAACAAACACATTTCAGGGACATTTAAGCACATGGATGATGTTGGCCTCTTGGGCGGCTGTTTTTTTTCTTGTGGTTTTGTTCTGTTTGTTTGGTTTGTTTTGGTGTGTGTTTTCGAGGTTTGATGGTTGTTGGTCTTTGGGCGACCGATTTGGCTGGTTTTGGCCCAGCCTTCTCATGGCATTCGAATCCTTCGCGTCGCGAGGCACTGCCGCGGCTTCGGAGCGGCGGCGTTTGCTGGTGCGCGAGGCCTGGCGCCGGCTGGGCGAAGAGCAGCTCGGATTTCCAGCTGGCGAGCCGGCGTCTTGGGCGCGGATGTTGGGCGTTGTTTTTGGTTTTTTCAGGAAAGATGACCCATGGCGTGCTTGGTTTAAACGAGAAGTTCAGGGGCAACCACCAAATGTTGGGAGAGGCATCCAGTTGGTTGGATCTTTAGACTTTTGCCTTCGTTTTTGTTTTTTTTTTCGTGAACTGCACAGAACAGCAAATACAACTTTTTGCTCGGGACATAGCCACCAAGTTGGGGCGTGATCAACGCTCAATGTTTCACACTTGGCACGCTCTGAAATACACCATTGAATTATGAACCGTGCCTTGCTCACCAAAGCCTGATATCTCCCACTGAATGACCGTGGCTCATGTGTGCAGTGGTCGAAGCCACATGCTGCTTCACGGTCAGGATTTCTGGAGCCCGACAATTGCCTCCTACATCGGAGGTTTGACCCTACCACATCACGATTCATCTACGCGGATGGCTGGAAGGGGAGGTGTCCCTTTGCGTGGAGAATGTTTTTATGTGGGAGGGATTCATTTGAGTAGTCCGGGATAGCAACGTTGGTGTGAAGCAAAACACGGTTGACGTGGTTTAGTTGGGCTTTGCAGATGTGGTTTATATGGCGTATCCGGTTGGTAAGTATGATTTACAGATGTGGTTTTGTTTGTTGGGCTCCTTTGCCCTCTTTTCCAATCATGGAGGTGGACAGGTCTTTCAAAACGCTCCTGTCCAAGATGGTTGCAAAAAGAGGGTATCCCCAGGTAGACGTAAACCCAGGCATGGAGGATATCCCAAAAAAAAGATCCACTTCTGTAATTGGGGGAATGAGAGTATTTGAATTATGTATCCACAGTGGTGAACAGTCTTAGATCAGCGATCGGGGGCAACATGAGCTCCGTCCCTTTCGCACGGATTCCAGTTTTGCGGTGGTCAAGTGCGGTTACACTCCCTACACTAACAACCGGGAAAAAAGGCAAGCCAAAGCCCAATTGCAGTGACCCTGGTTGAAAACAAAGCATATCCAGCACTTTCCAAAGAGAGAAGCACGGGATCCGGGGTCCAAGTTAGTCCTCAGGGGCATACCTCGCAGTCTTGCCAGCTCGGAGGCAGCGTGGTCGAGCGCTGCAAGCGCTGCAAGCTCCGCCAGCGGAAGCAGTGCAGGCGCTGGAGAGGCGCGGGGCCTTTTGTGCAGGGCAACAGTCCCGACTATAGGTGCCAATATGCGACCTCTCAATTCTGATACTGCTGACCACCAGTTGGTAGGTGGTTGATTCCAGAAAGCTAAGGTTGTTTCCATCCCAACTGGTGCAGGATTTTGTCCATCCACACTGCTACATGATTTTCCAGGTTTTGATTATGACTCAAGCAGAACGTTGCTCTGACTAAGCTAGCTGGCGCTTGGGGACGAGTAGGAGTTAGTAAAGGAACACGTCATGGATGCCACAAATCAACCATGAATTGGTCAAAGGGATTGTTTCCAAGTATGGTCAACTTAAAGTGTAAGTGGTGAACCGTTGTTTCCGAGCCACCACTGAAACTTGTTGGCAGGTTTCTTCATCGTTGTTTTAGTTAAGGCCAAAATGTTTCAACTTCTATGGACAGTCAACCCAGCAGGGTAGAAACCATGAGAATTGGTGTTGCTTCCGTTTGTTTTTACTTTCGCCAGGTACGAATACGCTGGTTTACACCATCCAAGTAATTATACCCTCCCACCGTGAACCTGCACAGGAGCTCCTTTTCCAAAGGGTCAGTGTTTGGCAGACAAAAGAGCCTGTGCATTTTAATGCTTGGCAGGCGGGCAAACAGATATTGAGGGGAAATCACAGGGCCACCCTTGAACTTTCACTTGCCATGGGTGTGTCTCTTTTTTAGGGGACTTGCCAAAACAGCGGCTTTTCTTTGGTGTCCCTCAAAAAAGGGCAATCCCCTATGTTTCATTGAGGTTGATGGTTTGTGCGCGACAACCACGATACTTTCGGCCTCCTGGAGCCGAAGGCATCTCCTTTGTCTCGGCACCTGTGAACCGTCTTTGCTTTTGTGCAAGTCGTCTTGGCAAGGGGTCCATGGTGGTGTCTTTGATTTGGGGGACCCCCCCCAAAATGTGTGGTTCGAACTTTGACTGCAACAAAGGGGGTACCCTCCCTCCCAGTAACATAATTGGCGCCTGCGAAGGAAACGAAAAAGAGAAGCACACATTTGGGGGTGGCCGGAAAAGACACCCCAATGGAACCCTTGCCAAGACTGTCCAACTTTCACGGGCCCAAGGGGCGTGTCTGTTTTGGAGTTGGGACCCCCGCCTGCTTGTGGTTTTTGAGGAAGAACACGTTTTTGGGGGATACATTTCTGGGGTTACCCTCCCGTCTCCAAGAAAACCAAAACTCGCCCCTTGGGCCTCCAGAAAGCTGCCCCCTCGCAGGTGCTTGGGCTTCCTGACCAGCGCCTTCGGGCCAGAAGTGCTGGATGTCTTGGCCAACCACTTGACGGCCGCGTGGGAAAGCAAGCAGTGGTTTTGGGAACCCTTAGTTGGCAGTTTGCATCGGTTTGGGGATTTGAGTCCAAACCACCACTGAGAGGGAGGCAGTGGGCTTTCCCACTTCCTGAGTTCCGTTTCGGACTTCAAACTTTTCGGGCAAAGAAGACGGTTGGACTCGTTTTGCCCGATCCACTCAGGTAGTGACTTTTGGGAAAATGTGTGTCATGGACCACAGGCCGGTTCCTTTACTTTGGGTTAACAGGGAAGGTCATCCACCTGGTAGTAAGGATCCTTACATACCAATAGATGATTCCTGTCAAAGAGGGGCCTTGAGCATAGGCCACATAAGGAGCGTTTGACCACGGCACATCTGCATTTTCCCACCTGCAATCAGTTGAATGCTACTGACCAATTGCGTGCGGCAAGCCCAAGGAAGAACGCGTCCAGCGTCTACTGAAGCCCAGCGCGCGGCTATGAGTGAACGCCTCCCCGCAAAAAAGGAGTGTGCGCTGCAATTGAGGTTATTCTTGTTGACTGTTTCTAGGGGTCATCAAAGTCAGAAACTGAGAATGAATTGGGGGCTGTTGGCTCTTCAGCTCTACCACTTGCGGGGCGACTTTGATCATGGTTTCATTCATTTAACTTCGGATGAACTTGGAGAAGCGGACTATTCAGGGAAGGTTCCCTGTCAACATGTTAGTGAGGAAATAGATCTTAGGGGAAAGCACCATTGAAATGGTGCTTCATAGTGTTCGTTGCTTCTTTGTTCAGATTTGGTGGCGGGGGGCTGTACAGTACCAGGATGTTTGCTCATAGTATATTTGTGGGTAGGAAGGTGTGCTCTGGTAGTCTGAGCGCAGTAGTGCGGCAGTCCATGTCTCAGTTTTTTCACGCCTTGGATTGCAATGTTGACAGGTTTTGTTGGACAAGTCTTTTAGACCTTTTGTTTATGCCCCTTTTGGGCCAAACAATAGCATCGGTGCATGCTGCATGTGCCAGTTTGGCCGAAGATGTTGTTTTGTCGAGGCCCGAATGCCTCTGAAAGTTTGTGTGCCACCGGCGGGGCCCTCCCCCCATGACCTCCCATTGCCGAGGGTTGCTCCGTCAGAAGACCATTGGGGTTAGCCTCCTTCGGCCATCCAGATGGTTGGTGGCCATGGTCTTGAGGCAAAGGACCCGCCACAAGAAGGATAAAATCATCGGTTCTTGCCTTTCCCAGTGATTCCATTTCCGTGTATAGGTAACCAGAGGTAATTACCACCCTTTAAAAACCAAAAGGACAGGTGAAACCCACTATTGAGGGGCGAAACGCCGTCCACTGAGATTGCCAGGGGGCCATGTTTGTTGCTCAGTAAGGTTCCCGGTTTTGGGACTTCCCTTCAAGGAAACCAAGCCGCCGATGGATTTGCTCGGGGTCCTGCCGATTGGGCCGGATTCGAATCCGATGCGTGACCGATGCCAGGCAAAAGCTCAGCGTCTTGAAGTTTCTGGGCGCGGCGGTGCCGGCAGCCATCGCAGGCGAACATGGAGACTGGTTCCAAAAAGGGACCTTACCCGCTGTAACCTTTAAACGCCCGCCATACGTAGTTATCAGATGTAAGCAGCTTAGAACCATGGTATCAGATGTAAGCCTTAGCGTTTTGTTCATGTAAATTGAACCTCCAAGTGTAACGAAGTATTTTTGTTTAAACGGCTGTGGCTCAAACAAATGGAATCCCCACAATGGCACCCTGGCAATTTGAAAGACCAATATCTGACCCTAGCTCTCTAATTTTGAGCCGCAGCCCAATGAACCCTTTTCCTCTCCTGAGTTCCGTTTCGGACGAAAGTCACTTTTGGGTTTGGACCATTTTGGTGGCAAGTAACAAGTTTGGTTACTTGTTTGGCCAATCCGCTAAATTGGAAGTGAGTTTCAGAGAATCCACATTCATCCGGCACGCGTGATGAAGAGAGGCTACGGTGGAGATGCAAGGCCCTCGCATCCCCGCTTCGTTTCAAGTCGAGTCAGGATGTTTGCTTTGGGTGGGTTCATTTGGCTGGCCTGAACCCTCCAACTACCGACGAAATAGGGAATGCGCCTCATAACTGTTTGGCCAGTACCAAGTTTTATGTGAATGTTGCGGGTTTAGGTTCATTTGGTGCCTTTGGGACCCAAGGCACAGGGCGAAATTGGGAGGTGCATTTGGGCCTGCGGTCCCCCACCACAAGGTGAAGGAATGGGGTCACCTTTTGGGTGTTGCTTTTTTGAGGGAACCCATTTTATGGGTTGGTTGAAGAAAGAACAGGAAAAGCACAATTTTGGGGAGTCCCATTTTGAGACAAGCCCATTTTGGGAGACCAACAGGAGACCAACCAGAAGGGGTCCCCGATTTTGAGATACGCCTGGGCTTCTGTTTGCTCATTTGCGCAGACCCGGACGTCCCTGCAGAACGCATCCGAGAGCTCTGCATGCGCGACGCTTACGACAAATGGCGAGCCTTTCCAGCTCCCGGATCCAAGTAATATTGACCCCGGATTAATGAACCCGTCCTATCAGTACGGTTTTTTGTTCCCTCCAAAAGTCAGGAATCCCCACTAAAACGGAACACCGGACACCCACCTATTAGTCAAACAGGGGTGTATTACTCCGGGGTTCCCATATACCGTCATGCCAACAATGGAAGTGGACCATCAGGGCCTTCCAAAACCCTCTTAGCTTGTATGTTGGGAGTGTAGCTTGGGCCTTCTGTGAACTATTTGAAATTTCAACAAATGTGACGCAACGCAGAGCTATGACAGCCTTTCTTGCAGACTTGAGATGTGCGCCAGGGTGGGTTCCAATTGGTGCTCGTGCCCCCGGAAGTACAAACCCCCCAAAAAAACTAAAGTAAGTTGTTGTTTTTTCAAGTTCAGGCATGATTCTCCTTTGCCGCAAGCTGAAACCCATTAGCCTGGAACCCGTTGTCCTCATGTAGACTGTAGACCGGAAGTGTCCGGGCAGATCAGTTTTGATCTACTGAAATGGGTGGACTTGGCCATGTTCGTGCCCACGCAGCATCCCCTAGCGCCAAAGCTAACCCTTGGAAGCTACACCCCCAGGCCCTCATTTGGCAAGGGCCAAGAGACAATTGCTCAAGAGTTGGGAGGGTTGCGAGAATGGTTTGGGAAACCCTACCTGGAGAATTGGCCGTCAAGGCCTTCTACTAGCACAGCTGGCAATTCCCACAACCGTCAAAAAGGACCGCCTGGTAGGAGGGGGGGGGGGGTTTGCCCCAAGCTCCGTTTCTGGTCCATTGATCTTCGGTCGGCGAGTTAGTAAACTTTACTCCGCTCCAAATCAACCTGAAACCCAAACACAGCAGTCCATTGTCCAACAAGGAGGGTTTCTCGAAAGATGAACCGGCTTCATGTTAATCTGCAGGGCGGGTACCCAGATATGTGTCTGGTGAAGCAGATTTTATCAACATACCAAGCAAGGGACCCATTGTTTAATCACGATGGCGCGCGAATGCTTCTCAGAACTCTGAATGTTCTAAGAATCACACCCCCTTTTTCACCCCAAACACCCCCCCCCCTCCCAAACACACCTGTTTTTGGGGGTAAGACTCAAGCAGAAGAAAACTGGGCATCGGTGGGTTTGGCTGGGTGGTATCACAGAACCTGTTCTGGGTCGGCGAGACCTTTGGTTCTTTCCTTGGTCTTCCAAGGACTCCCAAAACCAGGGTACTTCAAGGCATTTTGCTCTTGGTTGCAAAAATGAACTGAGCCAAAAGGTGGTTTCCTTGGTCTTCCGAAAGCCAGCAAACACAGGATCCTTCTTCATTGTGCTCTTGGTTGAACAAAAAATAAAGTCAGCCAAAGCCTGCTTTTTCAGGGTCCTGAAAGATTTTCCGGTTTCCCTGAAGCCGAGGCTGGCTCTGGACAAGAAGCTGGAGCTGTCTTTGCAGTCGCAAGCACAGGCTATCCTGGGCACGGGCGTCCCATGCTGCACCTTCAGGGATGCCTTTGGTTTCCCAATAAGGGCCTAGTCGAAAAAACGCATGTGTGAAGTATTGCCCACAGCAAAAAGGACGTTGGCTTCTCCACCCCGAAAGGCGGTTGACCAATTCAATTCTACTCACACAGCTCCTGGCCGACGTCTTTGTTGGTTCCCCGCCACAGATTTTGGACCTGGTCCCCCAAAAGCGCCTTTTTGGTTCTTGGTTCCCCAAAAACAGATCCTTCCCCACCCCCCCCTCCAAAACAAAGGACAAAGAGAAGAGGAACAAACACAAACAAGAACAATGCCTTCCCGATCCTGGCACCAAAGCAGAAATGGTTCCAAGCCTTTTCTCCACCCACGGGGTGCCTCGAGCCCCTCGCAGGGCTTGATCTCTGAGACGCGCCGGGGCCAGGAGGAGGACGGAGTCCGCTCGGTCGGAACTGGGATCTCTGTTGCCCAGTGATTCCATATGGGTGTGTTTTTCCCGAGCACCCTGTTTTGGGATGAGCGCTAAATCCTCCTATTTTGAAATGACTGTATACGTATCCAAGGGAACCACCCTTTAAAAAGGAACATGGCGCTCGGGGCTGCCTACCCTAAGGGCGAAGCGCCTGGGATCCACAGGCACCCTGTATATTTCCCCTTTTGGCTGGTCTGGCCTATCAGGAGCTGCTGTTGTCAGACCTCGGAGGCCCGATCTCGAGTTTGCGAGTGGCAGGGTTGACCTTGCCACCCTTTGACTTGCTGGCTGAATAAAGTGAAACTCCAGGCGCCTTTTGCACGTACCCAGGGAAAGCTCCAAATTCCCTCGTTGTTTAGTTGGCATTTCTTGAAAAAAATATTGGTTTCCAAAGTCGTAAAGACCTTCTTTTTTTGCAAAGGGGTTGACATGAGACCCTGCGACAATGTGGTGTTATTTGGACGTTACGGGAGTATGGCCACTGGCCCTCGGAAGCGCGACGAAAACGCTTAGGCTTCTGTTTCAGAAACTATGGTGTCGAGTCTGGGGCAGGTTACGGGGTCAAAGCAGAGGCTGGGCTGGGACGTTGGTGCTCCGACCCTCCAAAGGACCAACGGCTTCGGTCCAAAATCGGTCGATGTCGTCCTCTTTTCCTTTTGGGGGGGATAGCGAGTGGCGGCACGCCCCCTACGACATCAGCTTCAAACCTGGGTAAATGAACAGAGAGTCTTGCACGACCCCAAACTTTGAATGAGGAATTCAAATGGTTGAAATACATCCGATTCCCAACAATATAAATGATGTCCACCAGAGGGTCCCCAATTCACATTCATACATTCACACCCAAATGTGGGAGGCAGGCCCAATCGATGTTCCTGTCCTTCGGGCGGGTTCCCGATCAAAGCAGGCTGGGAAATTTTAAAACCTACTCGGCCTGAGTAGGTTGCATATCGAAGAACCCGCCCTGCTTTTGATCAGGAAGTAGGTTGTAACCATGGTCATGAATGGGACAGCGGGGATTGGTTGACTTACCACCATGGTTATAAACTACTGAGTACGTTGAAAATCCAAGTTGGGCTTCAACCCAAAAAGGGGGGGGGCGGTTGCAAGCCAACCGAAGGGCGGGGAACTCCCTTTCAGGCCCCTCTCAGCCAAGACATGGTACCTGCTTTACGTGATCGAGCCGTTGGATTTCGGACCTGCTGTGTGTTCTATGTGGAACCAACCAGGCGTTTCGCCCTTATTGGTCTCCAGCCGTTGTTCTTTTTATGACTTGAAGGATGGTTGCCTGGTTACCTTTTTCAGCGGATCCAGGAACACGCCCCCATACTGAGTAACCCTTCGCCAGTGTCCTTTTGGTTGTGTAGGGTTCCCTGGGCTTCCTACTACCCTCCCTCTAACTCATATGGCTCACAGAGGGTACCTTGACATTGATCTTCCGGGTACGGTGGGAGGAAGGGTACTCTGCAGGCTGATGGATCTGGAAGATATACCCTTGGCGTGCTAATCAGTCCACACAAGGCCAGGCGCCCAATGGCCCATGTGATCTTCTCTGGGGGTTTTGCTTTTTTGAGGCCCTTTTCAGGTTGGATTTTCGGTTGACACCAAACGCAACACTGTTTTGACACCACCCTCCGTGTGAATTTGCAGCCCGTCAGCCGGTGAGCCAGGCTCAGGTGATACCTCGACTGTTTGGGCTCGAAGCTCAGGGCATGATTCAGGGTTCGAAGCAGTGGGTGCCTCTTGGGCGTTTTGCCACTGTACTTGGAGGTTCGCTTCGCCAAGTTAGAAACTGGGGATCGCGCCACAAGTGGGTTGACTCAGCCCACTGGGGTTGCCTCAAACCCCTGAGAGCCAGGAGAATCCCACTGAAGGGAACTGACCTGGATCAACAACAGCTTACTCGGCGAATCGACCACCTAACTAGGCTCACTTCCTGAGTTCAACTGAACTTTAGTATCACTTGTTGGGTTTGGTTGCTATTTTAGTGCCAAGCAACAAGTTTGAAGTTTGGGGTTGCTTTGTTTGGCCAATCCACTCAGGAAGTTAGTAGGTACCCTCCTTGCAGTCATGGAAGCTGACACGAGGGGATTGAAAGACTACTTTCTTTTTGGGGAAGCACGCTGTCAACTGTTCGAGGGAGGGTAAACCACGATTTAGGGGGGGATGGGAAAACCTAGATTTAAAGCTACCTGGAGCACTGGATTGGTCTTTGGTCTCTCGGACATGTTTGCGGTTTGCGGGCCCCCGGGCCCAATAAACACCACCGTTCAGAGGGTAATTTGGAGGATGCCGCTAAAACAAATGGTTTGGCTGCAAACGTCGTTGCCAGCCCCATGGTGGTTCAACCAGGCCGATTTGTTGTGTTCTAACCCTGGTATCCGCGCGCACACGCTGCTTGATGTTTCTGGCCTCAGTATTTTGCCATGATCAAGGTCACCCCCTAAGTGGCGTTTTGAACCCTAGAAACTGTCAAAATAATGACCCTAGCGTCTTTGAGATCTCACGGTGCCCTCTTCCGCTTGACAACACCCCGCACAAACCCGTGCCAGTGGGCTTTGGCCCTGACCAGCTTGCCGAACCACGTGAGCTTGTGCTAGGGGTATCCTACACATTCTTTCCAGTGATTGTTGGTTTCTGGTTCTTGAACATCATGATGGTTGGATCACTGCAGGATCGGCAAGTACTTGTAGACTTGCATCCCAGAAAATGCAGCATCATAGCTGAGACGGGTGTGTGTTTGTTTCGGTTTGGGAAGCGTCATTTGTGCGGAACGGAACACACCATCGTTAAGAGAACTTGGTCATGACGTCAAGCGATCCAGGCCCTGCTGTCGCAAGTCCGGTTCTACGCTGCAAAGTGGTCGATTGAGAAGTGCTTGAGCAATGCAGGGCAGAAACACGATCTCAGCGAATATCGGTCAGGTAGTCGGCACAGCCTTTTGAAGAAGTTCCAGCGAAAACTGTGCCACGCCGTAGGCAGAATTCCAGCCATTTGTTGAGCGGTTTTGTTGGGCTCGTTTGCCTTTCCAAGCGGATCTCGGGAACCCGCTAGTAGCAGCCCTTCGTCAACTGGCCAAGTGCTGTACAGCCGTAAGGTGTGCAACGGGAGAAGGATAGATCTTCAGGCACGGACTCGACTGGCCGTGTCATGGTCCGTTTGAGGTTCGGGACGTGGGGGGCTCCCTCATTCTCCCACAAAAGCTGGAGCAGACTTACTCACTTTACAAAGTTTATGTGTGTGTGTTTTTTGCGGGGGGGAACAAGCTTTGTTGACAGTGCCTAGTTTGCTCGCTGCTGCGTGTTGTTTGAACGGGAAGCTAAAAGGAAGACAGTGATTTTGAGGTGGCCCTCGTAGACACCGCCCATGTGGCTGTGACTTGGTGCACAGACCACAGGTGATCAAGCCAGCGTCATGGAAACCAAAGGGATGCAAAATAGCATCCCCATCCTGTCGGGTTGGAGGGTGGGGCTGGGGCATTCCAAACAGGAGAGCGCCTCTCCCATGCAATTTTCCTTGGCGGGCAGAACTGACAACAAAAAGGCGCTCACAAAAACACGTACGACACGCTGCAACAAAAACTTGTCACATCACAGACAAGCACAGACAAACACAAACAAACACAAACAAGCACAAACACACAAACACGCGAACACACAAACACGCAGACACACAAACGCACAAACACACACATGCACGCACATGCACAAAAGCACAGACACCGACACAGCCCCCACGCGTTCGTGCACACGCGCACCTCGCTCGCCAGGCTGGCGCCCAGCCCATCTCCGCACGGCATGCTGGGGAGCCACAGCATGGCGCATCCTTTGACCCGCTTTTTGGTTTGGGAAGGCTCCTCCTCTTGTTTTTTCCTTTTTTCTGGTTTGTGGGTTGTCTTTTTTCTTCAGATGGTGCCCATTTTGTTGCTCCGAAACTGGATCTTTCTCCCTGCGGTTTGTTGGTTGTTGGCTTTGGGATGTCCATGTTGTTGCCCTGAAACTGGATCTTCATGGGGGAGTCCCAAGAGCTTGCAGTTGTGGCCCCGCAAATGGCGAGGATTTGGAGCTTGAGCAATTTTCCGACAAGGCCCACAGTTTGCCCACAGGACACTTTTCCCATATAAATATATGTTTTAGGTCATCCCAAGTCATCCTATGCATAGCTTGAAACGATGCACCTGTGTTGGATCCCAGTTGATAAAGAGTGGAGTAGTGTGCTTGAATGTCATCCAACATCTCGGGTCGCAATTGCCGATGGAGATCAGGATGTAGTCGTCGCCGAAAGCGCTTATGTAGCGAGAGTGAGGTAGGCGATGACAACGAATGACGCCGAAAGTCAAACAGATGTTCACGGAAACCAATTTTCCGAAGAAGTCTGTGCGCCCAGGGAGCGTTTAGATGTGGACGTACCATTTGAGCAACTCTCATTTATTTGGCCAGAGTAAATGAGCAGCGGATGACTGTGCACATGCAAACAGACAAACGCAGGGTCCCCGGTCCCGTCAAGTGGTTCATTTTGAGCAGTGCTGCAAATCTCTGGTGGGGATGGTTTTGCCTGAAGCTACCGTTGGGTAATTTCAAGGATGTCACTTTAATGGATCTCAAGCCGGACCTTTTCAGAAGCACCAGGCGTTCAGCAGCTTGTGCATTTTTTGGAGACACTGAAGATGACGGGTGCAGATTAATGTTCACCTCTCTGCAGTCTCGACCTTGCCGCAGGTTGGCAGTTTCGAGGTCTTTTTAAAGGTTCCCTGTGATTGCGTTTCCCTAATTTGTAGGTACCCAAGACATGTCCCAGACTTTTCAAAGCCCAAAAAAAGTTACCTAGCATAGGAACGAAACGCCTGAGATCCACTGGGATTGCAACATCTGAAACAGAATCTGAAGATGTTGTTTGGCGTGCCCTTGCCTTGAGCCTTGTACAATATCAGGTCTGTCCAATCTTCCCCATCACCCGATTTCAGCCCGCAAGTTTGGCTCGGGAGTGGTTCTGTCCGAGTACCCAAGGATGGTGTTCGGATGGGCGGGGGTCAACGTTCTTGATCCGAAGGATTTTAGGACTGACAGCTTGTCGCAAGTAGCTAGCACCAGTGCATGTAAACAGTTGAACTGAGGAGCTTCGCCTTTCCAAATCGGGTTTTCACAGGGTCACAACTTTCCTCGGGTGCCTTCTAAGGAGTACCGTGTTGTTCTTTGAGCCCTTGACCCCCTGTTTTTCGTTCCAGTAACCTTGTACTTGTTTCTGACAAACATACTTCACCCCGTTCTAGTCACCTTGCTGGTGATTGCTGTGACCCAAAGACCCTTCGACCTTTAAACAATTGGAATCTCCATCAACCCTCCAGACTCGCGCGGGGGGGGAGGGGAACCTGGCATGGAGGCCAATGGGTTCTTTCCTTTCGTTTCCTTTCCACATCCTCGACCCTAGATTGAATTGGGAGAGGGGGGTGGGCCCTGGAATTCCATGTTATAGTGCCCATGTTCCCCTCTTGTGGGAAATATTAGACTAGATCAATGGAATTGGGTCCCGGACCCCCCACCTATCTTTGCCAGGTAACGGGGGATCCATGAACCAACCAAATGTCCGGGCTCCGAATCTCGGTGCTTTCGCGCTTAGGTCCATGCGCTGGAGCTACTTGAGGCCCGGAGCGAAGGGCGCATTGAGAAACTGAGAATTCGCATCGGGTGAGCTACTCCCAGTTCATGGGTTACCGAGGGAAGGGCCCATGCAGGTGCCTGACAAATTCAGCAATTTTCGGGTGGTACCAAGAAGAAAACACCCACTTTTGGAGGGATCTCCTTTTGGGAAAATGGACCCACTGCCTTGTCTTTTTGTCTGTGTATGCCATCGCTGTTTGTATGCTTTTGTTGAAGCCCACACCCAACAAAAACGTCACCTGCAGGTCTGTGCTTTTGAAGTGGGCGGCGTTTGGGAGCCAAACACCTGCCATTTGGATGGGTCCCCAGATTGATGCTGTCTTTACGGTACCGCAACGCGTTGCCGCGGAGTTGCGCGGAGCATGCCGAAGACTAATGCCATCAAATGTGTCACATGTTGCTCCGGGAATCAACCCACAGAAGCAAAGCGCGGGCAACAGCCGAACAAAGTGGTCTCCTTGTGCTCGACTTTCTTTGCCACCAAGCCTGAGAATCATTATGGGACCCCCCCCCCCCGCCCAGAAAGGTCCTTGGAGTTGGTCGACATCCCTTGGCCGTTTTTTTGGGGCACGACGCCCCACGCGCGCAAGGGCCAATACGACTTGGCCAGCGCGCCAGAGGAACGAGAGGAAGCCGAGGAGTGGATTGGGAAGATCTGAGGTCCATTCCAAAACAGGATTCCTTCCTGTGTTTATATCATGTTTCAGTGGGTGGCTACCTGTTCTTGCTATGTTGTTAGTGGGTGGCTGTGCCTGTTCTTGGCATGTTTTAGTGGGTGGCAACAGAAAGCAAGGCTGTTTGCTGACCTGCCACGAATTGGACAGGTGCGCTATATGTCTTTGTTTGCTAGTTTTTCAACGTCGCATGTTGGGCTGCATTGGAGGTGAGCTCCCCTTTTGCAGGGGTGATGCTTTAAGGGGAACGTAGGCAACGATCCCAGTTACGCCTATAGTGGGTACCCAGTGACTTCCTGTTGTTTTTGTTCAATTGTGGGAAACCCCTTTGGTACCTGCCCAGCAATCAGAGACATTTCCACGAGGCAACTCTGAAAACCCCAAAAGGCAAGGATAAGGAATGAATAAATTTGAAGGAGCCAACATTTAGGCAGCTGGGTACTTGAAGGTTAGCCCCCCCCACCCCGACTGCCTAGCCCGGGCAACGGATTTCTGAAACTCTGGATTCGGTCATAGATTCGCGACCCTGCATCTAAGCAAAGCCTATATAATCTGTACTACTGGGTGTGTTCGCTCCAAAAGTGATGAACCCCCACTAAAGGGCGCCCTTATCAAAATCCCTGCTGGGCTCCCAATAATTGGTATGGGAACTGGTGACTGACGATCGCAAGCTTTTGGGAATTCAATGGTGCCCTCCCAAGTGCGGAGTTGCTCCCTAAGAAGCAAGTACCCCTTTCCTTTGGGGCATTTTGCCAAGGGCTGTTAGGACTTTAACTTTTTGCCAAATGGGTTTTCCACTAGACCACTAAAAGTTAAGCTTTTAGCAGGGGAGCAGAAAGCAACCGAGTTTCAGTGTTTCCTCTTTTGGGGGGCTCCCCTTCCGTCTCCCAAAATGGCGGGCTTTCTCGTTGGGTTTTCCGGTTCTCCCATTTGTGCGATTGGGCTGGCAAATGTCGCTTCAATGGACCCAGTGACACGGCTCTTAGGAGGAGGAAGCACCCAAGGACTGCGGGCTGGGGACCCCTGTCGACGTTCCTGACATGTTAGCCGCGCGATCCGGGCTGACCGGAGCGCCCCAAAAGTGAACTTCTTGGAAAGTGGCTTAGAAAAGGTTGCACCTTTTGCTCAGGGCAGTGAGAAGGTTCCGACACACCCTTCTTGGTTGTTGGGGAAGGTGTTCCCCCTATGGCCTGGCAGCGAAATGGCCTGTGTGCGATTTTGGATGGGCCAAATCAGTAACCCTAGTGTTGGTGGTTCCCAGCCATTTTCTTAGGTTTTACGTTTGTGGGGTGTGGCAGTTGCCACTAAACCACTAAAAGTTCTACTTTAGGGGATCTGGGAACAGCCCAGTAGGCACAAGGGTTTGCAGGATGAATCGCTTCTCCCTGATTGTTATTTTGGGAAAGCATACTTCTTAATAGGGTCACAGCGGGTCCAGGGGGTTCGTCTGAATGGGGTCCCCCCTTCGGCGGGTGCAGATACCGTGAAGATTATAATCAGCCGAGCAAGGAATTTACGTGGAATTGCGCAAAGCACGTGTTTGGATTTGTCAATTCAAGTATCAAAGGCGAATTTCACATTTCAAGGACAGTTTGATTTTGCGATTAAAAGAAGGAAGTGCCGGGGAAAAAAAAAACGCTCACGAATGGGTGGCAGAAGTTTAGTATTTATTTGAATATTGTGTCAATTGAAAGTAAAAGGGGGGGGTCTTTGTGGACGTTGGCCTGAAAAATATTTATTGGGAGGGGTGAATTTACTGCCGGGAAGCGGCGAAGTGGGGGTCAATTGGGGGCAAATCTAACCACGCGTGCCAGACCATCTAAGTGGGTTCTTTCTCGTGGTTTCAATGCTCCAATTTCACCGCTTTAGGCGAATCTTCCAGGCGAGCCACCTTTTCTAACCAGGGAGAATGATGTAAGACCCAGAGGTAAAACACCATGGCGAGAAGTGGAAGCAATGGGGCGGGTGTTTGAGATTTGCAGGTTTCGCGGCCCAGAAGATGATTCAGGCTGTTCCACAACGGGGTCGATGTGTTGTTTCTTTCGCAATCCAGACCGTTGTGGGCCCCGTTGTCAGACTTGAACTATAGATCAGTTACTTAGGTGTTCGGCAAGTTAGTAAATTGCTGGTAGCCTAGGTTGTAGCCCACTTATAGGTCGCCCGTTCAGTGAGGTCGACCTTTTGTTCGGGAGCTATACCTTAAGTGGCTAACCACTTACTTGGCCAAACATCCAAGTACCCTTTTGCCCTATTGAGTTTCCTAAATTGTCCTTGCCAGGAGAAGGAGCCCGAAGTCGCGACAAAGGCTCGTGGCTTTTGAATTCTCTACGGCCAGAAACGCCAGGTCGGTCCAAATGACCACGGTCCATTCAAGGTGGGCTATATATATATATATGTATTAATAATATGTATATATATATATATATGACTTCCTAGGATTTCCCACATAACAGAAACCAAAACACAGGGTACTCACTAGTTGTCCCATGCCTTTGCACGAAACAGGTAGTTTGGACCACAGCTAGTATAGTAGGCGATTAGCATGGTAGAAGGCTGCGACCGGGAAGGCATGGCTTGCGGATCCAAAGGCCACGGTGCCGCGTGCCCGTGACAGCCTCGTTGCCACAGCTGGTGAGAGGGCGCTGCTGGACCCACGCAGGTCATGCGCCTGGCCCGGGATCAGAGGTGCGCTGAACCTGCAGGATACGAACGGAAGCATCCAGAAGGGCAGCAGCCCCTTTCCAACATGTTCAAGAACCTCTGAATATGCCAAGCCGCAAGGCCTTGCGCGATAGGTCAGTGCCACAAAGTTTGTGCAGCAATTCAAAGGACACTTCCTGTCACCCTCTTTTGCCTGACCATTATTGCCAGACATGTCCATTTGAAACGTTGCAACAAGTCATGGAATCTTCGGGCGGGCTGTGGGGGGGCGGCTATTTCTGGATAAGCCCAGGATATCCCAAGGATAAGCCCTTAATAAGGCCTTATCGAGGGCTAAGGGATAGCCCCCCTCCCCAGTTCGCCCACCTTGGTCCATGAACAAGTAAATCCTGTTTGCAGGGGTCTGAGTCTGGCTCTACCCACCAAAGCCATGGCTCAGCGGTTCTGACGTGCGCCGAATCGAGTGCTTCAAGGTGTCAGGCAGCTCTTGGCGACGATCCCAAGGGGAGTTGAACTTTTATGCGTGTTGAACATAGATATATCCGGACCCTGAAGCGACCCTTTAACGTGAGTTACTGCAGTCTTGAGGGTCCAGGTAGCTTGGTTCAATGTGTCCCAGTAACCCTTCGATGTTTTGACCACCTTTCACATGATGCCCCCTATAGTTACGCACTTATACCTCAGTTGTCCAAAGCAAATCGATCTTTTGGCGTATTATTTTTGGTGAACACCCCCGACCCCCTGGGGTTGATTACCAAGTTTTTTGCCAGGCGCTCTCTCAATGGCTGGAAGATGCCCGCGAGAGCGGCGCTGCCTTGCCGGACGGGGATGGGATTCGGGGCGGAAGTGAGGCAACTGCCTTTGCAGCCTGGGGCGTGATCTTCAGCGCAGATTGGGTGTGTTTTCGAGTTGTGTGTGTGTGTGTTTGTGGTGGAGGGAAACCCCTTCAATTGAGAGGGGAATGAAAGGGAACACAAGTTGAGGGTTCCTCTATTTAGAAACAGCGCACATGTCATCACCCCTGTGGTTGTTTGACACACTGGTTGCCTTTTGACCCGCAATAACGGGCAAAGGCAGGCACTTTTAGGTGGGTCTGACCCTTTTGGGTGAATATAGGTCCCCGTTTGAAACATGGGGGGATTTGCGCCCTTTCAAGCCGTCCCACAAATGTTGGCAAGCCACAGCACGGTTTTGAGCCAGACCCCCGCTTGCCTTTTTGAGGCTAGCGGACGGCCAAGGCTGTTTGGATTTGTTTGACCAGAGGTTTTCAAGGGTTCAGAATGGAAAATTCGGCTGTTCGTTTGATCCATTGCACCTGGCACTGGCACGCTGTTCCAAAGACACCGGAACTGCGATCGGTCCATGGGCCCAAAATATTTGACCCATGTACCTGAAAGCTCCCGATACTTTTTGGGCCTCAAGCATAGGGGGACGCTGAGGGATCGGCAAGAAAGCACCTCCCGTGCAGATAAGCGTAGAAGCCCGCAAGCTCCCATTGAAGTAGATAGAGGAAACCGGAAACCTCCTTTTCATCGATGTCCTCTTGATCGGTTAGTTTGGATAGAAACAGATGGGGGTCTAAGAAATATAGTTGCATTCACCCACTTACCAGGGAAACTGGCCCGTCGATTTTTCCAGTTTAGGACAGCTGTGCTTCTTTGTTGACGTACCTCTTCTGGGGGAGGGAAGCTGCCAAACTTGATTGCAAAGAGCTGCAAACTGCAGCTCTGTCTGCCAAAGAGACTGCAACCCTGCCAAGCAAAGCTTCAACGCTGCAAGACTTTCAACTTGCTGCCCGAGCAAAGCTGCCAAACTGCAGACCTGGCAGCCAACCTGATGTTCTGTTCCAACACTGCAAGACTTATTAAGCCACTGCCCACCACAATAACCACCACAACCAACTACAACAACCACAACAACCTTAACAACCACAAACCACAACAACCACCACCACCACCACCACACCACAACAACAACAACACAACAACCACGCCAAAACAACAGATCCTTGCCAAACTTGATTGCAAGGCAGTTGGCTTGCTTCTAAAATCTTGCCAGGCAGGTTCTTTTGCTTTGCTTTTATTCTTAGTGCAACTCTCGTGGTTGTTGTGGCGGTTGTGGTTGTGCAAACACGCGCGAGGAGGCCGCCTATGGACTCGTGGCGGCCATACGTTCTGAGGCGGGGGGTGGACGGCGACCTGCTGCCACCGAGGTCTTTGTCGTTGTTTTTGGCCTTTCTTTTCCAGTTGGGTTTTGTGGTTGGGTTGTTTTTTGCGGTTGGGTTTTTGAAGGGACGCCAAAGGGAGAACTTCAAGAAATCCATGTTGGTTGCCGGGACCCTAGAAAAGGACCCCCATGAACTGGTTTAACAGGAAGCCAAAAGGAACTTCAAGGTCCATTTGCAGGGCGGGACCCAAAAAAGGACCCCCCCCCATTCAGTTTTGGATTGGTATATTCAAGGTGGTCCTGTGTTTGGGGGGCCCTTAACGGAGGCCAGTGTGAATGTGTTGTGTTTCTTCGCTGTTTTCGGGCTTCGTTGTGTCCGATCGGTGAAAAGGCGCCGTATCTCTTTTGCCGCCTGGGTCATTCCCGCGTGGATTCCGTGGCCGAAGGCCCGCTCGAGGTCTTACACAGCCCAGATCCATTTACCTCTGTAGATCACCAAAGGCACCGGCCTTTCAAAAACCGGGGTTCCCAATCATACAGATTGAGGCCCCAAAAATTCAACGCCTTTGCCACAGGTGTTGGGTGAGGGGGGGCTTTCAAGATTGCAAGATGCCTGCTTGCGCAAGCTCAGTGTTTGCTTCAGGGTTGGGCAATTTTGGCTCATGGCAGAAATTTTGGCTCATGGCAGAAACTATCGTTGGACCCTCGTGTTTCGCCGTTTTCCCAGTCTCTCAACTTAGGTGCTGTCCCATGCGAAGCACGACAGGCGGGAGGGTCTCACGGGCGACTATGCGTGTTTTTGAGGGTACCCTTTTTTGGGAGAGGTTTTCAGGAAACCAAAGGAAGCCACCCATTTAGGGGCTTCCCCATCTAGAGACAAGCCCGATATAGCGTAACACGTTGACTACGTATATGAAATGTAATCAGAAGATAGCATGCATGATTTTTTGTGTGTACGTGAGAGTTGGGTCAAGCTATGGAGACTCTCAGTGGCCCTGTTTTTCCTTGAAGAAATGACCCACCAAAACCGTGGCACTGCAGAAGTGCCGTTGGTCACCGCCCAAGGGGCTTAAAGCCAGTGCTTGAAAGGCGCCGGCTCACCAAGTCAAGTGGATCCCAGGCCAGTATAGTAAGCAACCAGCATTTGTCCATGTGGTTTTCAAGTTCTGGTTCTTTTGATCTACCTACTAGTCATGGCAATGGAACCACTGGGATGCAGGGATGCCTTAAGCGACTTGACTGCGATCATAGTCCTTGCTAGCTTTGATCGACATGTCCTGGCTGCAGGATGTTGCAGGAGGTGCAGACGAAAGGTCCATGGCGTTCGGCCCATGTTTCGGCCGCCTTCTTTGTTGGAAGCTTCGGCGCTTGGCCCTTTTCGCTTCCCTAGGCAACCAAAGAAGCCGCCCTTTAGATACCAAACTTGGTGGTCCACCAAAAGTCTATTTTAGTGGGGTATCTGAGAACAGCCCAGCAAAATGAAACCCGCTCAGCCAATAATTACCTCCCAGCCTCTAACATGGGAACTGACGCTGCCTTTCATTGCAGCTGGACTGGCTGGACTGCTGAATTTGGGTGTTTGACTGAGCGTGTTCTTGGCACCTTGGAATCGATTTTCGGAATTTTGAGGGAGTTACAACTTTTCTCCCACTCAAAGTCTAGCTTTTCCCGGAGGGTCCAAGAACCCTTTGAGGATTGCTGTAAAGGGTGTTAAAGAGGTTGAAGAAGCTCCTTAGGTGCTCGGACCCCTGGTTTAAGGATCAACGACAGCATTGCATTCGGGCTTCCGCCTTGCGTGTGCGAGCCGATTGCACGCGCCATGGCTTTACAGAATTGCATGGACTCCTTGAACGTGCTGCTGAGCATTCCCACCTCGTCTCATCTGGCGTCTCAGTTGCAACGCTTCTTAGCTTTTGTTTTTTTCGGCTGCAACGCTTCTTAGCTTTTGTTTTTTCATGAGGCTGCCAGAAGCTAGACGTCTTTTTGCCAGGCCCTAAACCGCGCCTCGTGTGTTTGAGCGATGAGGCTTACCTGGTGCTGGCCTTGGATGCCATGCTCACGACGGTCATCATTTGGAAGGTGCCCTTCACCAACGTCGATTGGGAGTCCTACATGGCGCAGGTGGATCTGGTGCTCCAAGGAGAGTATGATGCTCAGCTGAATGAGTCGCGCAAAGCAATGACTTCCATTAAGAAGAAATGAACATGTTTTGTTTTGGCCTTTTGGCTTTAAAAGGAATCTATCACTATTGAAAATATTGTTATTTATTTTTTTTCCAGGGGCTTAAGCAAATGCAAGATGAGCTCCATTCTTTGAGACAGATGGGCACCTACTGTACCAGCTGCTGACGTGATTCCATTTACCTTGTTGTGGTAACAAATGGCTTGCCACTCTTAAACAAAAATGAACACTGGCGAAGGGCTGCCTACTATAGGGGTAACTGGAATCTGGATGTGTCGACGAGCAACATGTTTTATTTTTCTGAGGCCACTTGAGTACTGCAGAAACTTTCCCGGGATGCGGGTTGTTTTCCCGGAAACATGCATCTGAGCGGCTAACCAATTGGTTCCCCCAGTCGTGTCAAAACGAAAAGGGCTGGTTACCTGCATAATGGACAGGTCACTGGGATCCATTTGGGTTCCCACTCATTTCATTCAACGTGCGAAAAACACACACCTTTTTTCCCCCGCTGTGCAGCTCCGAAAGTGACTATGTGTCCGAAGCGCTTGCTTGCCAGCCCAAAAAAGGTCCTAGTGTACCAACCCAGTGGATCCAGTATGGATGTTGCCCCTTCACTTAGCATGATATATTTTGTTTTGTGGTTCCCTACTAGACTAGAGGGGCAACTGGATCCTGTAGGGCACACACACACGCAAGTCAGGACTACCAGCAAATTCATGGGCCCACGGGTCCAATCGCGTACCCCGCTGGCTTCTGCTGGTTCTATGGGGTGTTTCGCCGCATGGCCTTGGATGTGTGGCAAGTGCAGAGACTTGGCTTCTTGAGTTGGTAAAGGTTTTTGTTTGCTTGGCCAGGTGTCACGTCAATTTAGTTGGCGCCTTGAATTGGTGGGGATTTGAAATCCCCTGGTTCTTGAGGCTGAATGTGAAGGGTAGCCAACCCTCTATGACTCAAGTAGTTCAACCCTTGTCTCCAAAGCTATTCTACATATTATATATGTATATATACAAGACCTGAACCCTCAAAATACCCGCTATGGATGGGTAATTGCTCACAATTATTGGTGGTTTCCCTTTGTTAAGGGTAGTTTGAGGGTCCAGGAACATATTTTAGGGTAGACAAAATTTGAAGCAGAATGTCCAAGTCAACTTAGCCAGGATCGTGTTTGCCGGCCTCTATTTGGCCACGATGCTGGTACTGAAAGAAATATACCGCAAGGCCGATGCCCCCCTCTGGGCCTTTGCGCTTTGAGTCTCAGTTGCAAGCGGCAAGTTCGGGACACTTTTTGTGGTTTTGTGTTTTGGCATATGATGCCTTGCGTGTTGTGTCTTGCAAGTTGTCTTGTTCCTTCTGGGTTTGGTGTGATCGATCGGGTGGATATAATGCATTATTTGGCTGTTTTCAGTTCGTTTGTTTCCTTTGAACATCAACTCACGAAGCAGGGGCTGTCCTTTTGGCACCAAGACTGGCAACGCAAGGCATGCTCTCCAAGCGCTCGCACTCAGTCTTTGTGCTTAGGCCGGGCTGGGGTGTTCTAAACCTAAACAGGTGGGTGTAACCCAACTAACCCCCTTTCAAGGTCCCCTGAAGCGGTTTAGGGAGGAAACCACAAAGGACATCCCGCAGAAAGGTGAACTGATAGAACCTCGCTTGGAAGGGGTTCTGAATGATTCGAAATCAAAAGGGTCCGAACACGTGACTGGCAAATGCGATGTTCAAATGTGGTTTTAAATCGTGTCTCAACCTCTTGGACCCCCAATCTGCCAAATGACCCAAAAGGTCCTTTGGGGGGCCAAGCTGCTGTGTTAAAGGGGAGCCTACGAGAGTCAGCCTCCCTCTCCTTGGTTTGATTCAGGGCAGTTTGCCATTTACCCTCTACAAGAACCAGCGGTTCGAGTCTTGAGCCCAAACTGCTTTGGATACATTTACATGCTACCCAAGTGAAGCAAACAATACACACCAAATACATGCTACAACTGGGCCTACCCCTATTCATGACCAAGGGATCCCTGGGGTAAGTGGGGTCCATTGGCTTCAGACTCTTCAACGACGCGGTGGCGCAGTTCTTCTGCTACGCCGCGCTGCTGCTGCTGCTGAACGGGCGCCACTTGAGGTCGGCGCTGGCCTATTCGCTGGCAGCGCCCTGATGGACCCCGGCCGTTCTGATGCGCCAGGTTTTTTTTGGTCAAAGGGCCTAAAAAATTGGCGGTTCAACTTGGGTATCATAGGTGTCCTTTATGGTTGATTTGGTTGAAAAATAGAGGGCCCTGGTTTACCTGGTGGTTCAATCAACTACCAGGGCCATCTATTTTCTCAAAAGGACACCTTTGTTGGGTATCCCTTTTAACACTACTCACAAAGGTGCCCTGAAAAATATAAGCACCCACTTTGTTTTGTAGAAGAACATTGTAACATGTATCGGGGTGCCCTTTGCAAACATTGACACAGCCGGCTTCTTTTTACATGTTTTTGTTTTTCCTGAAGTGACCCCATCAAGTTTCAACCATCAATGAAGTTTACATTGCAGGGTGTCGGATCCGCTTGGCCTGCTCAAGTTTGGTTGGTCTAAATCAGTCCGATCCTTATGCCAGATGAGGAGATTGGCCCCATATGTTCGCTTTTAGTGGCGTCCGACAAACGGATTGGGATAAAAGATATCCCCCTCATTTTCAGTTGGTTCTGTGCATTTAACGGGGTGCTATTGCTGATTTGGTGGTGCGCCCAAATTAGTGGTCAGAGGCCCCAACAAGGGAGTTCAGAACAAACTAGCTTGTTCAAATACTATTCCCCCATGATTGGCGCATTACGGATTATGCGATTATGGTTATGGCTTGCCTGGGTGTTTCATGCTTGTCGAATCGCACTTTGCAGTGAGGATTACGGATTAAGAAGACTACCAACCAGAACAAGCATGAAGCGGACGGACAGTGATTCGGATATAGATTTCCACAGGCTAGACAAATGGGTTCATCTTTCTTTGAGGGCACCTTTTCTCACTAAGTCAAGTTGGGGGAACAGATCGTAGGGGAACAGATCGTAAGGCCCCCCTCCAAAAAAAAATGGAAAACGACAGAAACCGGCAGAAACCAACAGAAGCCGACAGAAGCCGACAGAAGCCGACAGAAACCAACAGAAGCCGACAGTGGGGTACTTCCAATGTTGGGGACCCCATGGCCGCAAGGTGAGTATCAAGATGCAGCCGCTGCTGGTGTGTCCGGTGATGGGCCTTTGCCTTGTCGCTCGGGTTATTCGAAAAGCGAATCCACGGGGCCCGCCTGCCTTCGGGATAAGCCTCCTGCTTCCAGTTGCCAGTAAAGCCCGGCAGAGGGGGGTTGAAGTTTCAAGCATACATAACTATAGTTTGAAGCTCGCTTCTTTTCCCCTTCTTCCACTTTCGCTCTCTCGCTCTCTCTCTCTCTCTCTCCCTCACTCCCTCACTCCCTTTCTTCCCTTTGTTTTTCTTTCTAGTTTGTTCGTCTCTTTCTCCTCTCCTTTTTCTTACTCGTCATAGGATGGGCTTCGCCCTATAAACCCCCAAGTGCATCCATTTGGGCGAATTCTACCTGCCACATGATGGTGCTTTGC